TTGTTATATCATGACTGTATCAGACTTGTTAGAACAACCTTGTAACATTCTTGCTATATCATGACTGTATCAGACTTGTTAGAACAACCTTGTAACATTCTTGTTTTATCATGACTGTATCAGACTTGTTAGAACAACCTTGTAACAAGTTTGATAGTGCCATCAAGCTTTTTAACAGCTTGTTCCAAACTTGTTACAAAAACTGATGTCCAATCTAATAATTATGATACTTGTTGTGTTGGTGTAATGTACTCAGGTGAATATGATGCTTGTGATGTTTAACTCTGTGTGTGTATCCACACCGGGCGAGCTTGAAAAATATGCCTGGCCACGGTGGGAATCGAACCTACGACCTTTGGAATACTAGCCCAATGCTCTGCCAACTGAGATGCGATATTTCTATATATATTTTCAAGCCTGCCCGGTGTGGATACACACTCAGAGTAACATCACAAACATCTTATTCACCTGAGTACACTACACCAACACAACAAATATCATATATATACTATATATCATTTCCGTGATATTAGCAAACTCTTGTACATAAGTACATAATTATCGTATCCTGAGAAGTGGACTATTTTACAATTTCTGAGGAAATCGTGGAATACAATTCAATAACCAGTCTCTTGTCATTTCCTATCAAGCGATAGTAATGAAACCAACCATCGGTTTTGCCGATTAATCGGCTGATGGTGGGTATATATGTCTCTTGAACAATCGGTATCAGAAATCAGCTTTTTTTATATATCGGCTCATCTCTAGATAATATGTTTCAATACACCAAAAATATAATCTTAGTGAACCTGTTTCTCCAATCATAAGGAGAATAATGATACTTGCCCCTTATTTCATACTTTATAGCTTTCTTGACACGCATACAAACTGCCAGAATCCACAAAATTTGGTGAAATTTCAAACGTTTGCCAAACAGTTGTAGGTTTATAGTTTTCAACGCAAAATCATTACCCAGTTTCCGTTAGATCTACATTGCCATTGTTCTACAGAGCCCATAATTGGCGACATTAATACATTTTGAGCCCCCCGTTGGGAAAATCTTTTGTCTTTTTTTGTCTATACATACAAAGACAATAACGAGCCAAAATATTAAAAACAAACAATTTATCGTTTAGGAACTTTACCGTTTACGGTTTCGTCTATTTCTCTGTGAAATTCGCCAAAATCCGGTTGAAATTCGTCGCTAAAAACACCACCACTGGCCCCAGCAGAGTTCCTCGTATTTCTCGAAGTTCGACTATCTCGTTTACGAACAGAATTTGCGCTCAATAAATCACCAGGTTCACTTTCGGCGCTAATGTTTAACGAAGCATTATCGTTACGGGTCTCTGAGCATTCCACACCATCATACCCTTCCTTATTTGAACGATATTTGACCAATACAGCTTTGGGCACGACGGGGGGACGTCGTTTCAAAGTGCTCTTCAAAGTCCTCAATTCCATCACATCATTCGGATCAATTTCAGCGTCATTTTGCATGCTTATTTCCACAAAATTCCCATTTGGTTCGCGCAGAAATTCATCCTCACAAACATCCACGGAGATTTCGACGTGTTTACACAAAATCTGACCATCAGTTTCGCCATTAAAAGCTCCCGACGTGCAATTATAATCGCCTGACCGATCGGCCATTTTGGATTTTGCTCATGAACTTGCAAAGTTCGAACGTAATTATTCTCCACTTTCGAACAGAATTAGCTCGATTTTTTAGCGCTCATCGATTCATTTTGAAGCAATTTACTTCGCAAAATAGAAGAAATTGAAAACCTGGTTTTATTTCCTTGTTTTTTCGACTCATCGTTGCAGCTTTTTTCGTATGGTGTAAAATTTTATAATAAATGCTTCCAGTTAGCAGAGTGATATTTCCTTGTCATTAAATGAAGTTTTCAAATTTCCTTCACGGACGTTCAAATGGACCTTTTGCTCAATAACGGCGCCATCTTGAAATCGAAATGCACTGTGGTTTATTAATCAGGATTTTTGGTCATTATTTTATGGCAATTGCTAGATAGTATACTTCAAAATAAGGTTTCCGATTTTATATCAATTCTTAAAATAAGTTAGGATTAGGTTAGGATTTAGTTTTGCGTTAGGATAGTTTTTCTAAGTTAGAAAAACGGAAACCATATTTTGAAGTATACTATCTACCAATCACCCATTATTTATGGCGAGAAAAGGGTTGGGCCAACAAAATTTTAAGTGAGTAAAAGGTTGGGTAAATGAAAAACAAAACAACTCGAGGGTTGGGTAATAAAAATTTATTATCATTTCCAAAAAATGACTCGGTCAAATATTGAAGACTAAAAAGCAATGTCAATAGTCATATGTCAATACAATATGTAAATCAATCAGAATCACTATATCTTGATCATTTTCCGATTTGTCAGGAGGCAAATGGTGTCTCTAAAGAAAGTACATGTGCAGACAACATGAAACTTTAGACTGCAGAAAATTGCACAAGCAGTTATCAAACTCATGTCACAGAAGTGGTAAAGGACATGTGTGACAACTGAATGGTATCCTTTTGTAAAGTTTTTGGTATTTATTTTTAATTTGAGGTTGAGTAAAATTTTTTTGACTTTTCTATGGTCGGACAAAAAATTTGTACCAAGTCTTCGGCGCCACCCCCCACTATAAATAATGACCGCTCCCTTATAATAATATATCTCCCTATTGCAAGAATCGAAGCTCAATGACAGACGCCGTGACAATATCCCACGGTGAAAAAAAAGTTCAAATTATCACTCGGCTTCCACCGGGCTAGCACGCTGAAAATCCCGCAGGGAAAGATAAGACAAATGACTGCCTAATCTGGAAATCATGAAATATGAGCTTTCACAAAAAGCTAGCGAACCAGCGTGAATCCTTTTAAAGTACTCAAGTTTAATACATTGATAGGGAGTCAAACTTTGACCGAACTGATAATTTATCTATTGGTATTTGCATAAAAAATTGACAGGTACTCTTTGAAAGAGCATTGTTTTACGAGTCTAGTACGGTGAATGTATTTAAACAGGTACAAAGACGGACTAGGGCTCCACAGTTAGACTTATAACGTTTTCATCTGGCAAATTATGTGGTCTGTTTTTTGAGTTAAAGAAACCTTATACCATCATTTTGCTCCTGAACGGAATATCAAATTGTGTTCCCAAAACGTTTGCCTACGTTTCAGCAAGAGTTTTGAAAGCATTTTTGACGCAAAAAGATTACAGAGTTTTGGCATTCGTAAACAAGTAAACAGGTTTGGACTGATGTTATATTATTAAGATTTAATCTGTATGGTATTGGGTAGTGACGTTATTATGGCGTAGCGATTGAAAATCCGTTAATAACATTCAGCTGCGTTGGATGGTCAAATATTGGTATGTTAACATTTTTTAAGTGTTATATTTGGCAGCAGAAATTGATTAACTTGGGAAATATTTACATTTTACAACATACAATGAAAACTACAGTAGCTACTAATTTTCTCGTTCTCATAACTAGTGAAATAGTGCACCTATAATTGTCGGATTGAAATATCAAATTCCTATGAAAGATAAAAGCTCGGCCCACCGCCTGCGCGCTTAGATTCTATATTTTAGGCTCTGCGAAACGGTTACACAAAACATGTTTAATGTTTTGCTCACATGAATTGCGCAACAAAAAAGTTGGAATAGCCAACGAAAATTTAGACTAACATTATTTATACTGGATAGAAGACAATTATGGTAATGAACTCGTCTTCCTAGAGGTCCAGTTCTGGTCTTTATTTTGGTACAATATTGCTACATACAGCGTGGAAACCTAAACTAAACTGACTAAATTTATTTATACTGAATAGCGGTCTAAATTGCTCTTGGCCTAAAGTTCCAGTATTAAAGGTCATGGCTCAGGCTTACTCCAGTGTTAGCTAAACAGGAAGAAATTAGGAAATCCAAACAAAACCTGCTGTGTTTAGTATAGAGTCAAACTGGAAGCACTCTGCTCACACATACAATCAGACAACTGCAACATTGTCTACAATAAGCTGTCGTGGTTTGTGTCTGAACTACCTGAAAAAGATGTCTCAAAGGCGCTGGTCCAGTGTATGTAGTATTCTGCAATAAGCTGTCGTGGTTTGTGTGTGAACTACCTGAAAAATATATCTCAAACGTGGTGGTCCAGTGTAGGTAGTATTCTACAATAAGTTGTCGTGGTTTGTGTCTGAACTACCTGAAAAAGATATCTCAAACGTGGTGGTCCAGTGTAGGTAGTATTCTACAATAAGCTGTCGTGGTTTGTGTCTGAACTACCTGAAAAAGATATCTCAAACGTGGTGGTCCAGTGTAGGTAGTATTCTACAATCAGCTGTCGTGGTATGTATGTGAACTTATACCTGAAAAAGATATCTCAAACGTGGTGGTCCAGTGTAGGTAGTATTCTACAATAAGCTGTCGTGGTTTGTGTGTGAACTACCTGACGAAAAAGATATCTCAAACGTGGTGGTCCAGTGTAGGTAGTATTCTACAATAAGCTGTCGTGGTTTGTGTGTGAACTACCTGAAAAAGATATCTCAAACGTGGCGGTCCAGTGTAGGTAGTATTCTACAATACGTTGCCGTGGTTTGTGTCTGAACTACCTGAAAAAGATATCTCAAACGTGGTGGTCCAGTGTAGGTAGTATATTCTACAATAATCTGTCGTGGTTTGTGTGTCTGAACTACATGAAAAAGCTCCACAACAGTTTATTGTACACTGGACCACCACGTTTGAGATATCTTTTTCAGGTAGTTCACACACAAACCACGACAGCTTATTGTAGAATACTACCTACACTGGACCACCACGTTTGAGATATCTTTTTCAGGTAGTTCACACACAAACCACGACAGCTTATTGTAGAATACTACCTACACTAGACCACCACGTTTGAGATATCTTTTTCAGGTAATGTAACAAACTATATTAAGCAAGGTAGAAAATAAATCTGACAATCGTTCGTCACCCCTATTAAATTCGTTACAGACATTGTTGAAAGTTAAGAAAATTTTTAATTGCTTTAATATTCTGTGTAATAGAGGATACCGTTACATAAAACCTGTTGAAATATAAGCATGCATATAGAATATAGAACCGGAATATTGATTAGCCAAATTTATTGGTACGAAAATATATTTGAAGCATAAATTTTGTAAGATGGAATCGAAATTAATTCTTCACGAGTTATTTCGATAATGATATTATTTGCAACGGTCAGTGGTAAGTTTATATTTTGGAATTAATTAAATTAAAGCGCAATTACGCCAAATAATTAGCTCTTTGAATTTTGCGAGAATTCAAACCATCTGCGAATGTTTTGCAAAACAAATAATTGTGATGCTTTAGAAGTCTGGCTTTAATAACATGATCCACAAGACATCTCTATTATATACCAAAAATGTCCCTCGTCAATTTGAATTGAATGCCTTAAAAGGTTCTGCTTTATAACTGAGTAAACATGCATTATATTATCAAATAAGGGCCCCGATCCTAAGTTTAAAATCTAACCAATTGCTGTTTCCAAACGACAGTATATTAATAGCCTATACAGTTAATTTTTTCATTAATTATTTTACGACCTACCCCGGGGGATTTTTCCTGCAGAAACTTCAACTCGACTGATGCATGCAAAAAGAATCTGATTCGTCTTTTAGATAATTAGGTCTCCTTTCCCTTACAAAAATTTCACATAACATTTCATATATGAAATTTCAGTTTCATATGTATATATGACATTTTATTTTTCACATATTAAATTTCCATATATGAAATATATATGAAATTTTATTTCACATGTGAAATTATTTATTTCATATATGAAAAAGTAGCTACTTTTGATTTCACATATGAAATTATTTATATTTTAAATATGAAAAAGTAATTTCATACTATGAAATTGATCCCTCGTTGAAATTTTTATATATGAAAAACTATAGCCATGCACCATTTCATGGAATTATTTTCATCATTAATTATTTTCGATATATATATATATATATATATATATATATATATATATATATATATATATATATATATATATATATATATATATATATATATATATATATATATATATATATATATATATATGTGCGTGTGTATGTTCAACTGACACGTGCATCTTGCAGAATATCAATATATATTCTGCCCATATCAATTCTTAGTAAAGATATAAATCGAACGGCGCCCAGCTGGCGCTGGCCCATGTGCCAATCTTTGTACAATTCACGGACATCGTCAACACAGCCGTACAAAATTCAAACTTATTTTAAGAAATATAAGTAGGCTGAACATTGCCAAGGGAGTATATTAATACTACTATTACTCAAGAGATCAACAGCTTGGGGCAAAAGTATGTGTTAGGCAAATTGAAGCAAGTTAGAGTATGTTTTTAATTTTTATTTTATATAATTGTTTTATATAGTTTTTCGTTTTACCTCAAAAAACCACAACAGTCCGTTTCATCCGTACAGGAATCGTCAGGCGGTGAGTAATTTCGAAAATATAGGTTGCTTTTATGCTATATCGAAAGAATGCGCGGAATGCATATATAGGCGAAACAATGCTCGGGCGAAACAATTAATGTTTAGGCGAAACAGTGCTTAGCCTTATAAGCGAAACAATCTGTTGTGGTTTTTTGAGGTAAAACGAAAAACTATATTACGCTCTATCTATATGGTATTGAGCACTGTTTGTGTTTCGTAAACCAAAAACTTAAGCTAATTAATAATCATGGTATGCAGTAAAAATTTTGTATTGGTAAATTGATTAAGGATTTCTTAGAAATGTCTTGACTTGGTGTTAAACGCCGAGTGAGTTCGCTAAAACATTTCTTACAAATCTCGTTCAAAACTTACTAAGAATTTACCTGTGCAAAATTCCTGCTGGAAATTTTGACAGTATATAAAGCAGGCTTTATACAGGCAAATTATTGTTACGATGCACCAAATACTTTTTTATAGAGAAAAATTCCAGATATATATTTGCAGGGTTTTTTTTCGTTTTTCATTTGGTAGGAATGATGGTGATAGAATTTCTCTCTCTTTGTGGTAGTGGGCTTAAAACCACTTGAAAACAAAAAATAATTGAACTCTACCATGACTATACCATCGACCCAAATTTTGTTTCATTCATTTTGCAAATTCCACAAATTCCTGCAGTTTACCAAAAGCTGGGAATATTTTTCAAAGTATTCATGATTTTATCCCGTACATAATTCCACGGGCAAATCTCCAGTAATTAGGCGTTCAAACTTAAGGCATTCAGACTAAAAGGACCTAGTTATAAGCGCTTGCAAAATTACGGCAAAATGGCGACTAATTAGTCTGGGCGCGATTATCTTTCATTTTGGTCATGAGAAGCATCAATTACAATCCAATAAATATATTTCGTGACTTCGTTCCAACGTGCAAGGTTTAATTTTATCGATTTTTTACAATAAAATTACAGCCAATACCTCTACAAACAAACAAATTTTATTGAAAGAGAGCCAGCAATACTGATACACAGAATAAAATTAGAATTATTTAAGAATACGAGTAATTTATTTAAGGTTCAATAGTTCATATCTTTTAAAACGCTTTCAAACAGCTTATCTGCAATCTGGAGGTAAATTACTTGAAATATTTAAATTTTTTCCAGAATTTACCTTTTTAGAAAAGATTGCAACTAGGAGGTCCAGCTGCATCTTAGAGGTCCAGTATATATAAGGATCATCTCTTATTGATCCAGTGTTACTACAGGAGGAAACCTAAACTAAACTAACTTTATTTATACTGGATGGCTCTATCAGTCCTAAACTGTTCTTCCTAGAGGTCCAGTAAGGATCATCTCTTATTGATCCAGTGTTGCTACAGGAGGAAACCTAAACTAAACTAACTTTATTTATACTGGATGGCTCTATCAGTCCTAAACTGTTCTTCCTAGAGGTCCAGTAAGGATCATCTCTTATTGATCCAGTGTTGCTACAGGAGGAAACCTAAACTAAACTAACTTTATTTATACTGGATGGCTCTATCAGTTCTAAACTGTTCTTCCTAGAGGTCCAGTAAGGATCATCTCTTATTGATCCAGTGTTGCTACAGGAGGAAACCTAAACTAAACTAACTTTATTTATACTGGATAGCTCTATCAGTTCTAAACTGTTCTTCCTAGAGATCCAGTAAGGATCATCTCTTATTGATCCAGTGTTGCTACAGGAGGAAACCTAAACTAAACTAACTTTATTTATACTGGATGGCTCTATCAGTCCTAAACTGTTCTTCCTAGAGGTCCAGTAAGTATCATCTCTTATTCATCCAGTGTTACTACAGGAGGAAACCTAAACTAAACTAACTTTATTTATACTGGATAGCTCTATCAGTTCTAAACTGTTCTTCCTAGAGGTCCAGTAAGGATCATCTCTTATTGATCCAGTGTTACTACAGGAGGAAACCTAAACTAAATTAACTTTATTTATACTGAATAGCTCTATCAGTTCTAAACTGTTCTTCCTATCAGACTTAATTAAACTCCAAGAATTATCTCATATTTGTTCCAAAATCACCACAGGGTGACAGAGTACCCGAAGAAAACGTAGGTGTCTTGCAGAGTAAACCAGCATTGATTGAAGCTGCATGAAGCGACTATAATCCATTCTCGACATTCTAGCCGGGATTCTAGCCCTAGTGTTAACGGTTTCACATTATGATGCCTACATTAACTTTCAATAGTGAACCCAGGGGTCCCACAGTTAACAACTGAAAAATCATTTATGCGGTTATATCTCCGCACCGAGAATTTAAACAATTCAGTTGACGTGATTGAACTTAGACTGAAAGGGTCCTATAGTCCGATCCGACCTGTTTAGAACTGATAGAGCTATCCAGTATAAATAAAGTTGGTTTAGTTTTGGTTTCCTCTGTAGTAACACTGGATCAATAAGAGATGATCCTTACTGGACCTCTAGGAAGAACAGTTTAGAACTGATAGAACTATCCAGTATAAATAAAGTTAGTTTAGTTTAGGTTTCCTCCTGTAGTAACACTGCATGGATCAGTAAGAGATGATCCTTATTGGACCTCTAGGAAGAACAGTTTAGAACTGATAGAGTTATCCAGTATAAATAACTGAGTTAGTTTAGTTTAGGTTTCCTCCTGTAGTAACACTGGATCAATAAGAGATGATTCTTATTGGACTTCTAGGGAGAACAGTTTAGAACTGATAGAGTTATCCAGTAGAAATATTTTTTATCCAGTATAAATAAAGCAACTGAGAACGTAAATATATAATACACGTGTATCCATGTTGTTATAATCGGCCAATTTCTTGATTACACAAAAAAACAATTGAGTGACAAAAACATACCTCTTGCCAAAGTTTGTTTTCTTCAATTCCACAACACTTATTCCTTAATATTTGATTTCTGCCTTGTTTATTAATGTGTCGAACTAGTGAGTTGTATTCAGCAGTTATAATTTACAACTGGAATGAAAAAAGAAAAGTTTGAATATACGCGGTGGAAATTGCTTTGGCTTCGTGGGAAGAAAGACAAATCAGAGTTTATGTATGTTGTTGTAATGAAAGAAAAATCCGTTGGGACATTGGTAGCCAAGTATTTCTTCCATGTCTCAACAAATTTTGATCAATTGTAACTATAGTATAATTCATAATCTAGTCTCTCTGTAAATTTAATATGTTTTCTATTCTATGTACATTGGTATAGCTCTGTTTGAATAAAGTTCGTTTGCTGTTTGCGTACAATGGCGCCCATGTTCTTCGTGTAACAATTAAACAGTTTTATCAAACCTAAATTCAAAGGCTACAAAATTATCGTTACTCTTGAGTGATTGTGTCCTAAATGGTTGAATGTTCGCTGTATATATGGTCATCTGGCTCGTATCTTAAAGTGTCCCTGTCACAAAATGAGAGTTTATATTTTCGAAATCTATGATACAAAATATACGGAACTTCGCAAACGGAATTGAAATTGCTTTTTTAGTGTAAAAGTTATTGCCGTTTAAACATTGAATTTGGCCTTGTGAAAAATCTGAAAACCGCGCAAAAGGGACTGGGACGAAACAATGCGTGTGGCGTAATAGTAGGAACTTATGTAGCTCACTAATATAGAAATACTATTGCATGTACTATCATAGAGGAGGCAATAGCGCAAATAAAAGTCACGAAACTGAAAAATTGCCGAATATATGTATAGTAGGCGGTTGTTCTAATGTCACGGATACAGAGTAAGGCATTTCACTTCATTTTATACCTTTTACTGGAGGCGAGATGCACGAAGCGAAAAAGGACAGGGATTGACTTCGTGCACCTTAAACCAGCAATATGAGATCCAATGTTCAGCATACTTTGCGAAGATAGAGCTTGCTGGTAAAACCACGGTTAGCTACCGACGAAATTGGTTTCGTTGCAATTCCAAAATGTACAAATACTGTCGACGACAAACCTTTGTCTGCGAGAGTCAAGAGAATGGTATATGTATAATTTATACTCTAATTTCGTTTATCATGCACTTGAATATGGCCTAGTGCAATTTTTATTCCAAATTCGTTATTTGAATAGGTTGTATTTAGAAGCTGCTTCGATGCAGTCAACCGATATGGTCATAGTCACGAAACTGGAAAGCGCGATAAATATAAATGAGCCACAGCCAATGGATTCACCAGAAATATAACTGAAATATCGGGACAATATAGCTATGACTATGAGTGAATATGGTCAAAATATAGCTGATGAAAGCTAATTTCTTACGTCTACAAGCAATGTGCACTGTTTGTATTTTAGTTTAGACAGGGAAAGTAGAATTGTACGTATAAGTAAACTTGACGCAGTAAATTATACATATATACACTCGTTGTGTTTGCACCGCAGTGAAAACCCGTACAATATGCAGATTTTGTAACAAATTGTGGCATGAAACCAGATACACTGCGGGGGTGTATAGAAAATGTATTACAAAGTATAATCCATTGAAGCAACTTAATGAAACAACTTAGTCATTGCCACATTTGCTATAGTGCCTGGAACGAAAACAAGTCATAAAAATTCTTAAACGTGCTGCAACACTTTGTACAAATTAACCCGCGCGCACGAAGTGCAGAAAAACATCAGATACAAATCTTAATCTCAAATTTCAGTCTCTTTGGCAAAACAATCATCTGATGCTCGATATATTCAATGGCAAAAGAGGCTATGTTACTGTGACCGGTCACACGGGGTCACATGGTCACACTAAACCAATCTTATGCAACAATTAGATTTCGATCTGCTCGCAAAAAATTCTGGTAAAATAGACATGCCACTATGCAGTATAATGCCACAATACCAGTGCGCGATGCTGACGATAGTATTATTAAAGATTTAAAGTTGCAAACAACAAGGGTATCCCTGCATGTTTGGAAGTCCGGACCGGATATTTAATATCGTATAAATATAAAGTAGGTAGTGTGAATAATATCCTTAAAAGCTGTCTCACTATTTAATATCGTATAATATAAGGTAGGTTGCTGATAAATCAAGGATACTCTGTGTTGTTACTGTGAACTTAAATAATGAATGAATTAGCCGCGTTTATACGATCTTCGCGACTTATTTAGGCCGCGGATTATTTTAACTCGTACTGAGAACTTATATAGCCTAATTTATAGTTATTCAAATACTGTAACTGATGTTCCAATTCTAGGCAAGTACCACGAGATGCCTGCGGAGGAGGCTATGATTAAGCGTATTTTAAATATTGCGATGCGACAGCGATACGTAGTTTGTTGCCGAATTTTGAGTCGTTTATACGGAATGCTTGCGACTAACACGTATCACTATCAGTAATTTTCAACAAGTAGGCTATAATTTTCAACAATACCGTATATAAACGCACTGTTCGCAACTTATTTAGGCCGCGGCCGGCATAATTTCGCTCGTATATAAAGCCCTAATGTTTCTTTGGAAATAAGTAAATAACACTTGATTCTTTGTATATATATTATTATTATACTGTAAATCAAGATGTTAGGTAAATATGTTAGGATGTTTGGCAACGAAAAGTTACGATTATACTATTGAATTTGTTTCAGTAATTTTCCGATTTTAAAACATAATTTGCGTGCTATATGTTGCTCCGAAGAAATAATTTTCAATTATATGCTCGTATAATTATTAATTATATTGTAAATAAATTAAGATATTTTGTAACGAAAACTTGCGAACATACTTTTGAATTTTTGCTTGAGCAATTTGGTGATTTCGAAACATTGCGTCGCTATATATACTGCAGTTGTCTGTCTGCTCGGCATTCTTTATTAATATTTCCTGACCTTTTTGCGTGTATTTCTCTACAACTGTATCCACTATCCGTGTAAAAATGTATCATTGACATTGTCCATGCATGACATTGCAGCTTCGGATTCTCGCCAGTTGATTAATTAAATTACGGGTTGATGCGCTTGATTGTGTTTTATTTGAAACTTGTAAGAATCATGCACATGTCTGCGAAATCAGTTTACTGAGTTTACTTGTCTTGTGAGTTGTGTGTTGAAGCGTACTTGAGTTGTCCAAACAAACCTGCCCATCTAGCAAATTTTTGGCAAATTCCTTAATATGGACTTTGACAGATTTAGGCGACGTTTTCAGCATGCGGCATGCCCAAGCTGAAAATTGTATTTACCGACACCATGTATACTGGTTTGTTTTGGTGGCGAAGGATTTGGATTAACTTTTCCTTTGACGTGCTGTATTGCTTTTGCCTTGCATTTGCCCTTCGGAGTAATTAGAAATAGTTTATCCGATATAATTGATTATGAGAGAGTGTCCGAAACCGATCAATTTCCCCCCAGGCCCCCACAAATGTTTTTACATTGACTGTTACACAGTTGGTGCTCAATAACACGTTCGCCAGATTACAGATACATGATATACACGCGATGTCACAACGTTCTAAACGAAACGAGTAGCTTTTTCAGTGGAAAATCTACGAGAAGAAGTAGACCAAGAAATAGATCAAGAGGCAATTGATTACAAATTGTTAAGTGATATATTGGAAGACTGCATTTCGGCACAAATAATTTTTTCCGCTGTACTTGTTAAATTCAGACTCAACACTGTTTGTGCTTTTGCTAATATTGTTCCATCGTTATGTGTACTGCCTATAAAAATATGTGGGGAAGTTTTGAAGTTGTTGGCATGAGAAAGGTGAACCTGCCGAATCTGGTCAATTGAAACCCCGTTCCCCCGACCCCCGGGACAACGCGGTTTTAATGCACCATTTACCCCGCGGGTACAGGGTAAATAACAAGTCAATTTATTAGCCCGGACTATGTATTTGCACATACGGCACTGTCTTGATTGCAATTTGTCGTTAGTCCGTCATAATGACCCAGTAAAAGTCCAATACCATCATCATTACGGTACAAATGAAGGAATTAAAGTGTCCTAAAAGTGTAGTCGATGCAAAAACTTTAATGGTTATTCAAAGTATGGCAACCTTGAAACTGGATGGAAATTGTATCCTTATCATAATATATTGTATCCTATATTATCATAAAGTCATAAGTTTTGATATAAAACAAAGAATCAAACGGCGCGTTTATAACTTTAAAAAGGCCGACTGGCAAGGCCTCAAGGAGCTTCTGTCGAAAGTCCCTTGGGAAGCAGGCTTACTTACTAATGATGTTGACTCATCCCTTTCAAATTGGTGTGACATGTTTTTTGCGGCTGTGGACAATTCCATCCCTAAATGCACCTCAAGAAATGTAAACAGGCACCCCTGGATCGATAAAGAACTAGTATAACGCTTATTAAAAAAAAGAATACGCAAAGAAAGAAAGCTTTTAAAACAGGTTTTCAAAATGACTTGGATAAGTTTAAAGATCTGCGTCGTGATACCAAACGCATGACAGCACAGAAAAAGAAAGGTCATTCATACAAAATGAAAGTAGCACTTGGTGAAAATCCTAAGCGATTTTGGTCATATGTAAAATCAATTACCAATCAGAAAAGTACCATTATTTTTTTACGAAACGGTCAATCTTTCATTACAAATAGCTACACCAAAGCTAAATTATTGAACAAGTACTTCCATTCTGTCTTTGCAGCTGAAAACGAATTAAATCCTCTCCACGTTTCTAGATCATGTATGTAGGCTTGATTTTAGATTTTGAGATTCGTTTGGGCCTACAGGGGGTTGATGGCTTTTATTTCAGGTTGCGTGAGGTTGAGGAGTTAATCGGAACTTCGCTGATTTGAAGGCAATAGACAAGACTATACACTATAGACTTTAATTCGAGATTGTACGGTTACAATAGTTCATCGATCGTGCGAGTTCGAACTAAATAGAAACAAATAAACTATACTAAGTATAATCCTAAATTTAACTATAAAATTAATATGTAGAGAATATATCGTGACAATAGGATCTGTTCAATACTTCGGTACAAATAATCAAGTTCAACAAGAAAATAAGTCATAATCTATCTTACTTTGGTTTCCTCTCTACTTCTTTTCGTTGATTTTGGCCTAATTTCAATTCCAAATAAGG